TGTAAAAAACCTCATACCTTCCATCTGAAGAAATGCTAAGAGATTCAGGATTTGGAATAGAATGTCTTCTAAATGCATCCATAAGAATTTTTTGTTTAGATTTCAAATCATTTTCTCCAATGTCTGTTGTTCTAAATTTTCATATTTAAAATTATAGAAAAAAATAATAATTTATTTCTGTGTAAAATTTCAAGTGATGATTTTAAAATATGTATAGAATTTGAAATAACTCACTTATTACAATCAAAGTGACTTCCACCAATTAAGCGTGTCCAAGGATAGATGACTCCATCCATATTTTTGTTTTTCCCTCCATGATACACATAGTCGTCCATGCTCAGAAGTTCGGGAAAAGCCACGTGATCTGAACATTTTATTGGCATGCCGTTGCTCAACCAAATAGTTCGTTGAATATGGAAGCACAAACATACTGGCAGCTAACGAAACAATTATTTATTTATTTATTATACAAGAATTACATGTTATACAGAAATTGAAGAAAATTAACACTGTTTATCATAAATTGCTAAAAGTTTTAAAAAACAGTTTAGTACTAAGGTAATATGTAAAAGCAGAGTTTTACTGTTGTCATTAGTGATTTTTACAATGATTTTTCAAAAATTATCATTTCCATATAAAATTGGGATAATATTAGTAATAATAGTTTTAATGACCAACAGAAAAATATGCCATTTTCATATAATCAAAACAGAAAATTCATACTGACTTTAAAGAAAAAGATCCTAACTTAAAGCAAGAGTCTAACATATTTAAAGCAAGTCTTTGTCTTATATTTTTAGATTGTGTAATGCTTTCTTTTGAAGAGAATAAAAATCAAAATTAAATAGACTTCTTATATGGATATAATTGAATTGTAGTAGTAGTAGTAAATTGCTAGTCATCACCTTGTTGAAACTAGAGATCTTAGTAGTTCCAATGAACCACAAAACAATATTGGAAAGAGTACAAGCTTCTAGTAAATCCACAGGGATAAATGAAGCAAAGAGCAGTTATATAGCTGAGATTGATGAGGCCCTTACAATAAAAAGAATGACTGTTGTACAAGGAAGACAGATGTATGATTGTATGAATACTCATTAAATAATTTAACTAAATCTTTTTGTATGTATTTAAGTAATTAACTTATAACAGATAAATTTATTTATGTCTTGAGTCAATTCCATCATCCACACCTATATTGTAAGTTATGTATCAAATAAAAAATATTTAAAAAACAATCTTAAAAATTCTATCACGTACTTACTCAACTGATATAGTTATTACATTTTTATTAATTTTGAAGCAGATTCTACATGTAAAGTCTACATAATTTTTGTTCTTTCTCATTATATTGTTTGAAACTAATATATTTTGAATGAACAGGCTCTGTGTTGCATTGTCAGATTCCAAAAAACATTAGATGATATAACTTATAAAGACAAGCTTTAAATAAGAATAATTCATTTTCAAGTATGGTTTAAAAAAAAAAAAAAAAAGATAAATGTATAAAAAAGTAGAATTCTATTCACCTTGCCAATTGTTAACTGCTTAATAAATGTAGATTTATAGGAATTTTGATCATTAGAGTTTTTGCAGTTTTGTTTATTGGCACATCCTTCACAGTTGACATCCTGAACAAGTTCACACGATATAAATTTCTTTAAACAGTCTTGTATTCTTAGATGGCCCTAAATAAAAAAAAAACGTTTTAGTATTTTATAAATCTCTCAACTATTCACTTATTAGTTCAAAAATATTTATAGAATTTAAGGAGTATTCCATAAAATTATGTTTCAAAGTATAACAAATACTATTACACCTATACTTTTACAACTTTATTTCAAAGAACAAGCTGTTAAACAGGCCATCTAACTTCCTATATGGACTCAAGATTACATTTCTGGTAACATACTTCCAACTACATAAAGCACTTAAATACAACATTTCGTACAATTAAAATAAAAACCTTGTAAAAAAATGGTCAAAGAGAGAGTGCCACATTTAAATTAAATATTAGAGAGGTTGCAACTACACATATATTACATGAAATATCCTTACGTTAACTTTCTATAATAAGAATATTTAGAATCATAAGATATAAAAGTATTGCATTAGCAAATATAAAAATAATTTAAAAACTTACAAAATGAGGATTTGGGATGGTGAGAGAAATACTGTCGAAAGTGTCATAACAGATGGGATACTGAAAATATATAATATAAACTTCAGAGTTTCTTAGATTCTTAAAATTTATAATATTTATATGTTATATAATATAAAATTTGTTATTTATAAATAATTCAATGTTTAATTACCAAAATATAACTTTTAATTTATAATTTATATACCAGACTTATTTGATTTTTGGGACTTTATTGTCATAAAATCATAAAATATTCTCTGAAATATACACAATAAATGGTATATTGTGATCTATTAATCGTAATAAAATGAATTTAAATTTAATCAAGTAGTAAACCAAGCAGTGGCAGATCCAGAAGAACCCAAAGGGGGGATTACCAGTGCAGAACCCAAAGGGGGGCTTACCAGACAAATGTCTTTTGCTTTTGAGAGAAAATTGTATTCTGATGGTAAATAAATTTACAAATGCAAAATAATAAAACAGTTTATTTAAATCAGTGGGTTTAATTATATACAGGTGGTTTTCCATAAACAAGAAAACTACTATTAAAGTTAAAAAGCAATTAAACTTTACGAGAGTAGAATGTTATTAATCAGACATTGTTAGTCAGGACATTTGAATTCTTTATAAGGAATCTTTTTCAAAGTTTTTTAAATATTCTTAGCAGAGAGACAATGAGTATAAAAAGAATTTAGAATTTACATAATACCATACAGAAAATTGGTAACCCCACCAGGGTTGCAACTCCTTGTTTGGGATGTAATGGCATGAGATGGAAAACAGGAAAATAAAATTATGTTGCCAAAGCCCTGGAGGTCACAGGTTACTCATGACTGACTTAAATCATTTAATTCTTAACTCCATTCACTTGAAAACCAATTGCACACAAGGGCAATATTTCCTAAACTTTTTAGAATCACAGCTTTAAGAAACTTTTATGACTCATCTAGCTTCTGGAAGCCTGTAGCAATGGAAATATCTAGAGTAGGTTCAGTAGGTTCTCTAGTCAAATGTGTGCGTAGTCATTAGATGAGAGCACTGAACTGTGCTAAAACTCTAAAATTACAAAATGTTTACACTTGAAAAGCTTTTCAGACCCACGGATTTAAGAAACACTCCACTAGCGTTCAGAATCAAACAGTTTCAATCTCTTTTCTCTTTCCAAAGATTAATGCTCAAATTCCTGTAGTCTTACAGCAGTAATACTTTATTCTAACATTGAACATATTTATTTATTTTCTAATTATATAAATTTAAAATTTAAAACATTAATTCTATTTACATGATACTTATTCTAATATCAACAGTTCTGTTTTATATTGTTCAATTTATCTACAATTGATCACATTACTTTTTAATAATTAATCTTCGTACTTACCCTGTAGCCACATGTTTTGCATCTTAATTGACTAGCAAGAAGTCCTCTTGTTGGACATTCATACTTAAGAACTTTAGTTTGAGGATAAGAAAATCTGTTTATAATTTTTCCTGTCTGGTGATCCGTAACATCTACTTTATCCTTAAAAGTATTTTTAAAACGAATATAGAATAATAAAAAAAAAAAAGGTTTATATAAAACATTATATAACTAATAAAATCTTACTCACCACTAATTGGTTTACATCAGAAAGTGACAATACAGACAAATGAGGCAATAATTCTTCTTCTAATGTAGTAGTTAATACATGAAATAGCTCGTGAGCATCCTAATTTTTAATAATACATCAAATTGTTATGTAAAAATTCATAACAAATATGTCCAATTTCAAAATGTATCAAAGGAAAGATCTATTCAGATTTAAAAAATCTTATATGAAATATATTTGCAAAAGAGTTAATGACTTAAAATCAGAAATATACTAATTAGATTTTTGATTATATTCCTCCTTCTAGAAAAATTAATAAAAAATAGTCCATTTTTATGCAGACTATTTAAGTTTAAATCTTTGAAATAATATGATTTATAATGTATTGTAATTTTAATACGTGCTGTAGAAAATAAATCATATTAAAACAATGGCTCTATTATTTCCTAATTGAGTACTTTTTTAATGATGCATCTGGCAGCATAATTCACAATACAGTCAAATCTCTATTTATCTGGATACCATTCATCCAGATTGGTTTGAATAGTTGTTTCTTTTTAAATTTTTACACATTTCATGGAAAAGTATTTTTTGTGATGTTTGTGAGATCATTGAAACATTTACAACCTTAATATATACCTATGTAGCAATCTCACATATGTGGGGATAAAATTAAATACAGCTCTCCTTTGATAGTCTGACGTTTTTTAATCCAACAAGCTCAGTAGTCCGACGCACCTCCCATCAAGGTACCCATCCCCATTACGTGTCTGCTTGCACAGAAGCATGTCGCGACGTGAATCTCCCCATCCAATTCTTACACAATGACACACATTTCGTGTGTTTTCTGTGAGCAGTTCTGTTCGAACAGTTGGAGTAGGGAATATTGTAAGCTACTGCTAGCAAAACAATGCAAAATATGTAATTATTTTCGGTAATCTGGACACTTCGTAATCCAACACCCCTTTGGTCCTATACCTGTCAGACTATTAAGGGAGAGATGTACTGTTTGTATGTACTGAGTAATTTTTATGTTCTTATTTATGTAATTTTAAAATTTCTATTGTTTTCAAGTCAGTAAAGCATGTAAATTTAGAAATTAGGTTTTAATGCCATATATTACAAACATTTTCAGCCATTTTTTATTTTTTCAACTGTTATATATAACAGAGGGAAAGTCAAAAAAATGACCCCCCTAAGATTTTACATTTTTGGACTCGGGACACCTTGAAATGTCCAGAAATGCAAAAAAATTTGGAGGTAATTTCTGTATGTATGTATGTATTGATGTTAATGTGTACGGAGCACAATTTTGTTCACCCTCTTTGAAGCTTAATAACTCCTGTGCTTTTCATCAAAAATTTCTGAAATTTTGCAAGGAGGTTTGTGTATTAGGGGGATTGATGTTATTAAATTTTGATGATCAAAGGTTGAGGGGATGGGAAGATAATGGGGTCATGTGTATCTCCAGTAAGATCAGACTTAATAACAAGTAAAATTGTGATTATCATTTATAAAACACATCCAACTCAAAATTAAGCTTTATGCTATTTTATAATAGTTAAAAATATAAAAAGGCTTTTTAATAAAATATGATTACAGAATGCACCACCAAAATTTTAAATGTTTCCAGAAAGTTAAGCAACTTGTTGCTGGTTTATTTTAATCAGCCTTCCTCTAGCATTAGTGAATATAATCATAAAAGTTAACATAACATATGATATTAAAATCTAATTTCTTTGCTGAAACTGAAGAAGAGGTATGGTTATATTCTAAATTTCCTGTTCCAGTTGCATAAATACATACATAATTTGTTTTGCATATAATAAACTTGCACGCAAAAGGTGTTTTCAGTATAGATAATATTTTAGATTTTAACTTCAATACCTCACTAATTTCAGTTTATCTGGATCTTAATTAATCAGATTGGATTTTTTAAAACTCTTTCTGCCTTGCGAGCACTAAGACAATTGTTTTTTTAGCAAGTTTATTATGAGTTCGGCTAGGCCCACAATAGGATGGCTGAATGATCTAATATTTATTTCAACCCCAAACCCCCCAGAGTAATCAGCTGCCAACTTGCTGCTCAGTCATCAAAATCAGATTGGTTCTGGTCCCATCTGATCCAGATAAACAGGGTTTGACTATATGATTTAAAATTTTAAAAAATCCCCTTAACTCTTCCCAATCTTTTAGAAAGAGATTAAAACTATGATGAGAACAGATTTGAAACCTATTTGTTCCATTGATAATAAACAGAATCAAAGATTTGAAAGACAATTATGAAGTCTTTTACAAAACTGATTAATGTAAAGAGTTTACTATAATGCAAATCTTTCCAAAATAAAATAATGCTGCAATCAGACAGCGATACAAACATATTTTATTAACACAATTATATTTTTCAACTACAATTTGCCTTACATTAGCCACAAACATGCTATCTTAAATGCATCTTTTATTGTTACAAATGTAAAACAGTATAATACTTTGCTCTTTTTTTTTATAGTATAATTTACTTGTATTAATGTCTAATATTTATAAAATAATTTGTTTCGTTTCTAATAAAAAAAAACTACAATTTTTTAATACTAGCAATTTAAATTTCCAATTGCATATAATTTTCTTTGATTATTATGCAGTCCTTGACTTCTGGACATTTGACTTTCAGATAACTTACATACTACTTTGATAACACTTTTATGTGATAAATTTATACTTTTGTACTGTACATTTTCAGAGGATAAACAAAACTTGCAAGTTCAATAACTTGTAGCAGCAGCATTTTCTGCTATGTTATTGTCCCCCTGTTTAATCTAAGGTTTTATGCATTTTGATTTTTATTGCAGACCGTTTTTATGCATTTTACTGTAAAAAAAATTAAAACCTTAATAAAAGATTTTGTACTCTGGAAATGGAACTTCTTTTATAATATTCAATATTCACGGATCTTTTCTGAAAACACATTATGTTTGTAAGTTTGGGACTGCCTAGATTTAAATTCTAATGATTTAAATGTTGCCAGAAAAATTTAAAATTCAAATTTATGCTCTTCTTTTTGAAATATTTATGAGTGATTTATATATCAAATTACTTATAATTACATCAGAATTAATGTCATTGATATTTGTTACAGCAATGTTAGAAAAATATATAAATTTAAGTTAGAAGAATAATGTAATTTCAAAGTTTTGAATCTAATAAATATTTGGAGATAACAGAACCAATGCAAATACGAGAGAACATTGTATAATATTTTAGATGATACTTATCAGTTTAACAATTCTTAATATATCCAAAAATAACTTAATAATGCTTGTAAACAACAGTGCAATTTAAGAGTTCTAATCTTCCCATTCCATTAATTTAATTATGGTCATGATTATTAAATTTATAGAATACAATTTCCTTAAATTGTGAATAATAAATCTTCACAAATTATAAGTTATTTATTAATGATTTATGCTCTATTTTTGCTGAATTTATTATAACAGCTCATTAGAAAAGACTATTTGCTGTTAATTTTGTTCTAATATTGTTTTAAAGCAGACAAATTAGATTTTTTATAATATTTTTTTCTATTGGTATATTTATATCTTTCCAAATGTTCTTGATCAAGATTTTTTAACACTGAATAGGGCACTTTTTTAAAGTTTTTAGAATTAATCTTTACATCATTCTCAGAAAAATACAAAACAATTTGAACAATTTTTTGAGCAAAATAGTTAAAAATCAAACAATATTAATTAATAGAACAAAATAATTTACCTGTTCTTCACTAGTTATAACCCATCTTCTTGCTTGTAAAGCTTCAATGACATTGACAGGACTATATACATCGTGGCTGTTCTGATTATTTAGTTCTATAATATAATAATTATAAATTTACTTACAAAGCTTTTTTATATAATATTCAGTATACAACTATCATAAAATATATATGTACAGATAAATCTCATTTAATAAATGGATTCAATTCCAGAAAATTATTTGTTGTATGTTCTTCAAGTATATCTTGAAAGCATTTGATGGTTAGTTTAAAGAGAAATGCATTTATAACTCCTTCAATCATATCTCATTAGACTATCTTTGCCATCAGGATGATAACATTTGTTTACACTAGTAATATTGTGAGGTAGTAAGAGAGAATTTTTGATTTACAGTTACTTTTAGTTACTGTTGTCCATATATTACACTGGTTTACACATCTAAGTCAGTAACAAACCTTTTTTTAAACCGATTTTGTACAACTTGAGACTGCTGATTTCAGATATGCAATCAGAAATTATGTATCATGTCTCAGTTTTTCACAGTTCACAATTATTCATTTATACAAGTTTCAGCTTTACGCAGATATTTCACAAACTTCATTACACATAACAATGAACTTATGACTATGTTAATACTAAAAAAAGTAATTTTCCATTCACAAGAATAAATGAAAATGTGTAAGTACTTAATCAGGCAAGAACTTTTGCTTCTTTGATTTTCTGGAGTAGGTGGAATCAATAGTGTCATATTGCAAGCACCAACAATAGTCTGCTATCACGATTTTGTTTCATCTGCCTTGGTATTGGTGTTGCATGATCTTTATATCTGGTGGAAGCACTTGCCTTGTTCCTCACTTACGGAACCAAGATTTGAAGGAAAGTTTATGTGGCCATGCAGGAAATGCACCTTGACACTTATGTTTGCTCTTAACATCTGGAAAAGCTGTCAACAAAGTTTCAACCAGAACCTCCTAGTTGTCTGCTCTGAAGTTGCCAAATAAGTTTCTAACATCATCAGAAAATGCACATCAAAGCATCTTTCTCCATGCTGTTTATTATGTTGAAATTTTTTGTCTTCACAAAAACATCAGCTTTACCTTTCTCAGAAAACAGTGCAGGAAATTTAGAACAGATGTACTTGAAGCAGGCACTATGTTTATTCAGAGAATTTGTATATTGCTTCATAAGCCATAATTTTATGTGAAGGGGAGAGAGTAAAACTTTATTAGGGTCAACAAGGGGTCATTTTGTATATTCTTTTGACCAACATGAAATTCCTCCAACAGGCCTCTCTTTTCTTGCCCTTGCACAGCTATCCCATAGTCACAAAAAGCATGGGTATTTCATGTAACCCAGGGATGAGCAACACGCGGGCCGCAAGCGGCCCGTTAAATATGTTTATGCGGCCCGCCAAGCATTTTTAAAATTGAATTTATTTTATCGACTTTCTCCCATCAATATATTGTTATAAAATTAATTATAATAAAATGGTAGTACATACTAAACCGAAACAATTTTTTGTGACGAGTTACTCACTTGTCGGCGACTTGTTCAAACATGCAATACGAACGCGCCGCGTCTGTGCTTGTTTGTGTTTGCTTCTGTCACACAATCAGTCAGACTGGTAAGCTGTTAACTAGCAATTTTAGCAATTCTTGTGTTTCTTGAAAGGCGTGAGTGCAATATTATTGTCAAAAAGGTAATATTAGAGTTTTTTTTTTTCAAAATTAAGTTTTCCTACAATTTTTTTAACTTTCAAATTTTTAATCCATAATAGCATGTCGGAAAAGCAAACAAAAAAACGGAAGGTTGCGGATGAGCACAGGCATTTCCAAGAAAAGTGGAAATTTGATTATTTTTTCACTTTCGTCGAAGATAAAGCTGTATGCTTAATATGCTCAGAGACTGTGTCGACATTAAAAGAATATAACATAAAAAGGCATTACGATACAAAACATGAACAACAATATAAAAACTTAACAGGACAACTCCGGATAGATAAGTTTAATCAAATGGAGAAAAACTTGGGAAAACAACAGGCTATTTTTAAAAATCAAGCTATTTTATCAAATACGGCAGTAAAGGCTAGTTTTGTTGTCAGTCAAATACTGGCAAAAAAAATGAAACCCTTTGCGGATGGAGAGATGATAAAAGAATGTCTGACTGCTGTTGCAGAAATAGCATTTCCTGATAAAATAAATATTATTTCAAACATTAGTTTATCAAGATTCACCATTGCAAGGAGAATTGAAGACTTGTCCGAGAACATAGCAACAACGCTTCGTGAACGCATTGCAAAATTCGAATACTGTTCTTTGGCACTTGATGAGAGTTGCGATATTAGCGATACAGCACAACTGGCTATATTTTTACGTGGTATTGACACCAAATTTAATATTACCGAAGAATTGTGTTCACTGATTCCAATGCAAGGGACTACAACCGGCAAAGACCTGTACGATGAACTAAAGTCTGTGTTGGAAAATTTTTCAATTTCATTAGAAAAGATTATTGGTATATCGACAGATGGAGAATGAGCAATGTCAAGCATGGAGGAGGAGGAGGAGGGGGAAGGCTATTTCAAGACATTAAGAAGGTCACAGGAAGGGAAATATTCATTAACCACTGCATAATTCACCAAGAAAATTTGTGTGTGAAAAGATTGAGTTTGCCAAATGTCACAGTACCAATAATTAAACTAATCAGTTTTATAAAGTCGCGCACGTTAAATCACCGTGAATTTAAAGAATTCCTGAAAGATTTAGAAACTGAATATGGCGACGTGGCTCTACTAAGCCAACGTACCGAAGTACGTTGGCTTAGTAGAGGTGCAAAGCTAAAAAGAGTATACAACTTAAAAAGCGAAATACAATTGTTCTTGGATATGAAGGGATATGCCTTTCCTCATTTTGGTAATAAAGAATGGATGTGCGAGTTTGGGTTTCTTATCGACATGATTCAGCATCTCAATGATCTTAATGTGTAACTTCAACACAAAGGACAGTTTATTCACAATTTGTATGATAAAATTCAGGGCTTTGAGCGCAAATTAAAATTGTGGAAACAGCATCTTTTGCAGAATAATGTGTCTCACTTTCCACATTTAGAAAAAGAAAACGTTACTACTTCTCAAAAATACGCACAATATATAGACATTTTAATCAACGAATTTCAATTACGATTCCAAATGTTCAAAGCTGAGAAGACAGCGGTTTCCATGAAAATGTTTTCCTCGCCATTTAATATCGATGTGGATACAGTTCCCGAAGACTTTCAAATGGAAGTGATTGACATGCAGAATAATACCGATTTAAAAAATGTATTTTTCTCAGTAAACATCGAAAATTTTTATAAATCTTATGTGAGCCCTGAGAAATTTCCGCTTTTGACGAAAAATGCAAAGCAAATGATGTCTCTGTTCGGAAGTACGTATGTTTGCGAACAATTATTTTCAACCATGAAATTAATCAAAAATGACCACCGATCAAGACTGAGTGATGCACGATTAGAAAGCTGCGTACGTGTAGCTACCTCATCAATTCCGGCTGATATTGATCAGCTTGTATCGAAAAAACAGTGCCAAATTTCTCATTAAAAATTTCAAGTAAATTCGTTTTTCTGTTCTTTTCTTGTTTGTTTTTATTTTGCATTAAAATTTGTATATGAAATCTTTACTTTTTTTTTAAAATTTTATATTTTTTTATTCTAGTGTTTATTATAAATAAAGTTTTGTAAATTATTAATAAGTGTTACTTTATGTACGGCCCGCCAAAAAATTTTAAAATTTAAATTGGCCCGTTGATTAAAAAGGTTGCTCACCCCTGATGTAACCTATCTGCTTACCTAGTATCAACCATATAACCAATATACTTTATCTTAAAAAAAGAAGTTTCACTGTTTCATAAATTTCTTTCATTTGTATAGAGTGACCAATTGGAATGGAAGCTAACTTGTTGTCATTGTGCAGCAACACACATTTTAAACTTCTCTTCAAGCTGTCAATGAAGAGACTTCAATCTTCTGCATGATATTTGCACCCCATAGCTTCAATCAATCCCTTCACATCAATACCGTAGACAAGATATTTGTTCATCTGAAAATATTTTCTGTAAAATCTAAAAAAATCTAAATCTAAAAATATATATATTCTTATACATGAAGGTTGTTCCATGATCTAGCATATTTCTTTCCTTAAGTCTTGAACTCAATATGTCTGCCGATGAGATAAAGATCATATACAAGATCATTTAACTCAGCTTGAGTGAAAGGGTTGCACATCCTGTTTTCATCAACTGACAGCAAAAACACAAAGTCCTCATCATACTATCTGTATTTGCAAGGATACTTTGAATCTTCATTGCTTGAACTCGCAAATTTGCGGAAATAGGGTCAGGTATTTCATTGAAATGAGGAATGGGTCTCCTTGAGAGTAAATTAGATAGTGTAGGGAATGTTTATTCTTTTTGCTGAAGCTTAATACATTCACCACAAAAATAGCAGTCATTAACATGTTTTTTGTTGCTTTCACCACACTATTGCCATTCAAAAACTAAGGCTTTTTTCTCTGACCATTGGGTCCATTTATCTGTGATTTTCAATACGTGATCTGCATATTATGTGGAACCCAGGTCTTGTCATGGTCACCCAGTCAAACTCCAAAATACATTTTATAGGCAGATATATTTGTTCATTATTTTAGTGTTGTAAAACAACCACAAGTATAGTAAAATATGTCCAGGACATTCTTACACTTTCAACAAACATTTGCCATGTCAGGTTAAATTTGCAACAGAGAACAAAGAATTGGTAAAATGATATGTAACAGTACCTTCACTTACATTCCTCATCGTGGGGATACCTGATGTGATTGATAAAAATGGATATGACTTTTAGGTTCAGCATCCTTGAGTTACTAACAATCAATTGTCAGCCTGAAATCAGAAAACTTGATGTAGACCAATGTTATGTAATGGTGTGGGTGAGTATCCATCATGATAAAAGGGTGGGGATGTTTACAAAAGCATTTTTGAAAATTTTATAATTTTGGAGTGTTTTACTCATACTTTGAGTAATTCTTCATTTACAATTAATCATAAAATAGCATTGTGATAAAGCTAAAATTCTGTACATGATTTTCTTAGATTTATCATATTTTAGAGATGAATTCTGTAAAAGTATAAGCAACATTTTTGTCCTTGTATAAACCTTGACTTTCAATTTATCTTTCACACTCTACAATTTCGCTACATTTTAAAATAAATGAATTAAAAATTTATATTTAAAAAAACTCTTGAAATAATTATATGTAGAAATAGCATATTCAAAATTATAATAATTTTAATTTAATTAAAATTTTTTTTAACTTTTGAAATAATAAATTTTAAACATTCAAACCTTTCAATGTTTGATACAATGCATCAACCAGACTATAGTTTGGTTTATTTGATAACTTATTTTTTGTGGAAATTCCTTCTAACCAATGAAGAAATGAGGACCAAGAAGCCAAAGCTTGAAGGACTACATTTAAGAAACAAGAATTTCCAAGATTTTGCAATCCTGGAATTAAATCTGAAAATAAAATTCATACTTGTTATTACAAACACTAATGTGAAATTATTTCATAAATTAAAATATCTTATGCTTAATATATTTGTGATTTATTCAATTTAAATAATCTCAACCATAGTGACATAACAAAGGAATTTATTACATCTATAATAATTGTGCACATTAATGATAGCTTAATCATAATTAGATGACAAGTATTTATTTATTTTACATTATTAGGAATTGACTGAAAACAATTCCTAATAATGTACTGTACAGTTTAATAAATGTCAAATTATTAACTCCATTTTTAATTAATGTGTTTAGTTAATAGTTTATTGAAATTACATAAATTCTGCACTATACTGTAGACAGTTATATTGCCATATATTGTTTAGTTTTAATAATTAAATTAAGAAATTAATTAAGAAATGACTGGAATGGAAGTGGTTTTACTTTAAAATGCTCAACTTGTAACATATGATATTATTATATTTGTAGATTTAATGATCATATAATTTCTATAACATACAATGAGCTTCAAGATGTGTTGATCATGCATCTATATTCTATATATATATACAGTATATACACACACACACACACACTAACTATCTATGTAACACCCATATCTTGAGTAACACCCATATTTTCAAGATCCTGGTATGCCACTGCGTAACGTGGTCGGGTATTTTGCCTCAGAAGACATCTAGCTTGGGTAAAAAACAGGAAGGGAAAAAATAGAAAGGATAGTTCTACATCAGACTAAGTAGAATGAAGTTGTTCTTTATTTATATGTATCTTACATATAGTATGTAAGATACATATAAATAAAGAACAACTTCATTCTACTTAGTCTGATGTAGAACTATCCTTTCTATTTTTTCCCATCCTGTTTTTTACCCAAGCTAGATGTCTTCTGAGGCAAAATACCCGACCACGTTACGCAGTGGCATACCAGGATCTTGAAAATATGGGTGTTACTCAAGAAAGATTTGGAGAATACTAAGACATGTGCCACCTGTTGTTTTCCCAAGAATATTACTTAATATCTTAAAATTACCTTAGTTATCCAACTTCTTAGATCATTCTTTTTACATTAGCTATTCAAAACCGTTAAGTAGAAAATAGAAACTGGGTAATTGATAATTATGAATTGATAGATTAATCATAAATTATATAAATTACAGAATGATTGTGTGTGATTCTAAAAGGTATAAAATCATTACATTTTTTATTTTCACAATAAAATATCAAAATTAGTTATTTTGATTTCATACGTAATTATTCTAGTCTGTGTCCCACACTTTTCAATGTATTGAATATTTTTTTACTTTTTTTTCTGTTTGAATAAAGTTTCTTTTTGCCAGTGAAGTCATGCAATATGCATTATTACATGGAAAGTATTTGATAAGTCATAGCAATGATAGTTTTTCTCCAAAAATATGACAGATTTGTAAAAGTGAAAAATGGAAGTTTTAACAAAATTATATTACAAATTTTTGGCACAAATTTGACAAATGTGGCTACAATAGATCTGTTACAGTAACACAATGAAGCTGACATTGCACAGACACTCAGATAGAAATGAGGAAGCTGTAAAGATTAGTATTAGTAAGAATAATAAGGAAATTATGCTAAATTTTTGTGAATTCTGATGCAATAAAACAATGGCTCATCTTATCAACATCCTTCAAAATAATCTGTCATGTATTCACACATTCTCTCCACATTACTACGTATCATCGAGACATATGGTATCCATAAAGTGCAAACTTTTCTTTTATGCAATATTTTTGAAAGAATATGACTGTATAGGCAGTACGATTCAGTCTCTGCTGCTGAATTGATGCAGCCCATCACCAATCAATCTCAAGAATATACATAATGGCTACAATTGACATATTGTTAATTTTTGTTGGTGGATGCCAGATGTATTGTTCATCTGCTGTATCTTCCACTTTAAAAGTACGTGTACCAGTATGTTACCATTTGATATGGGGAAGTATTATTACCTTCATATTGTTTTGCAATTAATATACATTTAAGATTAATTTTTAGGTACTGTTCCAAACTAGATGATATTCTCAAACTCAAAATTCTGGATTGTCTTGACCGAAACTCACATGATGACATTACTATTGCAAGTATCAGTTTGAAACTCATCTCAAAAATTTTGGAATATAACTTACAAGGATGACATAGTACTAAGTATTACATGACTTCTTGTAGCTAAAATTTACTTGGTAGTTAAACACATGCTGTTTACCCACATATGAGTATATCCTCATAGGTGGGTAAATGTTAGTACTATGTTATTTACCCATTTATCAAAGAATTCTCATATTTATTTTTAATTTAAAATAACAAAATTGATTGCTTTAGTATCAAAAAAGATGCCGCAACAACCATAAGCATCCCCCAGATATGAACAACCTTTTGATCTCAATCTAGAACAATGTTTCCCAAACATTTTGGACTACTATCTCCTTTAATGCATATATTTCTTTAGCACTTCCATAAATCAATCAAAAATGACAAAAATGATAAATTAAAAATTTATTTTCCAATGTAAGCATTTATTTTATAAATGAAAAAAATAATTGTCTAAAAATATCTTAAAGTACTTTATTAATTAGTATAGTTGTATGTCTCAAAACTGATTTTACAATATATTTATTTAAAATTGAGTAATGAATTTTTGTCTCCCTTGTCTACCAATGCTCCTACTGTTTCAATACCTTCTAGTGCCACCCAAAGAGTACTAGAAGGCACTAGACTAGGGGCAGTAGCACCTACTTTGAGAATCACTGATCTACAATAATACCAAAAAAGTAACAAAGGAGAAGTCATCTTACATTTTTACTATTAAGTTATTTATAATATCTAAGTTAAATAATAATGAATAGAATTAATAGTCAAATTAAATAGTGAAACCATAAGGCTACTGTTCTGAAAATCAGATTTAAGGCCAGGTGAGATATTCAGAAATTTTCACAAGTGGTTTGATAACTTTGTGAAGTCTTACTGTATTATTGTGGATTTGACTGAACTTATGATGAACATAAGAAACCACAGAGTGGAATATTGTTTTAATGTGAGAGACTGTGTTTGGAGAGAGATCCAATAAATTTAATTGAAAACATACATAACAAGATAACTTTACAATTCAAAAATTTAGTATTTACTTTAATTACTATTCATCTGTTGAAATGCAAAACAGAAACCACCTTTCTTAATTCCAGCAAATCAGTTTAAATGACAAAAGATTTTTCATGAATATTGATAGATCTTTGTCGTTTGCTACAAAAATAGGAAGATCTAACAAGTATAATTAATTTATTCAAATGCATAGTAATTAAATTAATTTTATTTTCTCAGAAATTTAATTAGATGCTTTGACAAAATGTGTTTCTTTAAGCAAAAATTCTTCATGTAAAAAATGTATTTAGTAAATATTATACTTTTAAACCCTTATTATAGTTGCCAATCCCTCAGGCTTTTTACTGAGAATCTGCCTTTGGAAGCAGTTGTCAGGCTGTCAACCTGAACTATAAAATCTCCACCTTTTTCAGATAATATAAATACAGTCGACCCCCTATAACACGGTTGATAATTCCGTTTTATATGAATTCCATGTTGTATGAGTCACTTAGATTTTACAAATATGTGTGCCGGGCTGTGAACGGCTCACGTATTTGTAAAATCTACTTGACTCATACAACATGGAATTCATATAAAACGGAATTATCAACCGTGTTATAGGAGGGTCGACTGTACCTATTGGGCATATTCGATAATGTTCCTCAACTTCCACTTTTTCTACTGCAAGTGACAAAATTATTTATGATGTTGTATTGCTATTATCAAACAGACTTTCTTTACTGCTTGTAGAAGGCATATTTATGATGCTATATTTATATTTAAAATAATGAGAAAATATTAATTAGATGTATATGTAGTCATATTTATATTTATCTGAATATATAAATATTTTTCTTTTTAATCAATAAAAGATGCATTACAGACATGTTGGAAACAAGTGTGGAGACAGCAGTTAATATTGCAGCAAAGTATTTTGATAATAGTTTTTAAGCTACTTAACACATTTTGCAAAAACTGTTATTCATTTCTTCTACTAACTTCAAAGTGCCCTTTACCTTTCTACTATTTCTACTACCTCCTTAAAACTTTGTAAAAAAAATGGATGCACTTCTTCCACAAAAATGTCATATACCATTATTATTAAACAGATAAGTGGATCTAGTGGAGAATTGTCAAATACACTGGAAGTTGTGGAGCATTATTAATCATGCACTTAATGCATTGTCTTCACAAATATGAATTTATGACCAATACTAGCAATTCCAAGTTTGCATTTATGAATGTTTTTATATATGCTTTTATGAACTGTTTTATTCCTAATATTAACATTTTCTTTGAGTTCAATTTTGCTGTATACATACAAGAATTCCAATGAAAGCTTTAAATTTTTGATTAAATTATGAAAAATTAATTTTTTTCTAAAAAATGATTGCATACAAAATTTTGTCTGAAAATGTGATAGATATACAAGGCTGTACATCTATTAAGAGAATGCCAATTTGAAAATTCTTGTAAATCTGTCATGTCAAAATCATATTCTCTGAGCTACAGACTATATGGAATTATTTTAATTTTTGTCTATAGATAATTAGCTTTTTACATAATACTTATTATATAATATAACATACTGTTACTCTGTATTCTACTTTTTTACTATTAGTAATGTGCTTATAGTAGAAAAAGCCATTATTATAAAAGTATTTTGTGATAAAGAGAATGAAGATTGAATAAATGCTTAAAAGTGCCACAAATTTTGTCTACAATCTTTCTGTAACTTTGTTTTTTTTACTTCTCAGCCTTTCCTAGCTATTAAGTCAGCTTCATCTTTAATCTAAGGTTGGCAAGTATGTTATATAATATGGCACAAGTTAAAGCAACATCATGATTTAATAACAACAACATAAATCAGAAAATAT